TTTCTTTTTTGATTGATTGATTGATTGATTGATTGATTGGTAGGGGATGGGTCTGGGTGGGGGGGCGATCCATCCCCTACCAATCAATCAATCAATCAATCAACCAATTAATTAATCGAACCCTTTTTTTTTTTTTTTACACCCCCGGGACGGTTTTTTTATTTTTTATTTTTTATTTTTTTTTATGGGGAAGTACCCCATGACACCCGACTCCCCCCCAGCCCATCCACCCCCTCAACACCCCCCGCGAAAGGACGTACGGAGGGCCATAAGTCCGTACGTACGGACCGTACGGGCACCGGGGGGCCCGTACGTACGGTTACGGCCGTACAGACGGGCCGTATTTGTACGGGTGTATACACAGGATCCGCGAGCGATCCTGATGCCGTTGGGCCACACATGTCCTACGTCCAGGCGAATGCCACGTGTGCACTTCCGGAGCATCGGTGTTGCCGCCGTCCTTTGTGCTGCAGTGTGGTGCTGGGCAGGTTGTGGAGAGGCGGGGGGTCATTTTTGGCACCACAGTTTTGTTTAAGCGTGGATTTGTTAGATGAGTGTGCAGGGTATTCATTGTTGTCATGTCCTTCGGCGCATCCTTCGGTTTAACATTAGGACCTCCGATTTTGAATATTGTTTAACGGCTGGTGTTGTGAGGCGTTGCTGTCACGCGTGGATTGTGATCTTCCAGAGTCTTGTTTGGGGGGGTGTCAGAGAAGGAATAAGTGCCAGGGTGTGTTTTTCGGGCGGGAGGGGGGAAATGGCGGACTGAAGGTGCTGAGGAGGGGAGGGTCGATGACGTCCGGGGCGAGGGTAGGAGAAGAGATGGAAAGCGGGAGGGGGATGACGACGGCGACCACCCACTTGTCTCGAGGTCGAAGGGAGTGGCAAAGGAGGACGATGTGTAGGAGAGGTCGAAGTTGTGGGTTGATTGCGATGCTTTCTGGGGTCAGGGCCCGGGGAAACCATTGAGGGAGGCGGCAGGCGACTGCGCAGACTACTTCGTCGCCATCGCAAATGGAGACGTAGGAGCTGAACCGCCTGCGATGCTCGTAATGCCGTCGAATGATGTGCCGCTCTTCAAGATCGAGGACCCTGCGCACCGTGAACCAGCTTTGCGCAGAGCGCGCAACGTGGAAAAATTGGTGTTGCGCACCTTCCACGGCTGGATCTTTAAATCGTCGTCGAGGTCGACTGGCTTCGCTCGTGCAGAGTCGTACATCAACGTGGACTCAGCTACAGACGTCGCACGAGCAGTTTGGCAGGGATACGAATGGTCGAAAGTGGTTTCCCTTGCCTTGGTCTACCACACGCTGGCGATGAAGATGGACGTTCCTCTGTGGTTCGCGGGGGTGAAGATTGTGGACCAGCCTGAAGACGATGACATGGCGGCGCGGTAGGAGGCGACAGTTCTTCGCGTGGCGGATTGCTGGACAGATGCAGTCTGGTGTGGACAATGGGCGGACGGCGGCCGCGTGAAACAAGAGAGGTTGTCTCGGCTTGCGGATTGTCTTCGAGCATTGTTGAGCGCGTGCATGTGGATCATGCGCATGGGTGGTGACGACGACCGATCACACTACGAGGAGTGGTTCTACGCGTCCATGGTCGCGAAACCCACAATGATAGCGGCGGGGTCCTACATCTTCAACTGGCGGCGACACATCGTCGACACCGCCAACCTCGTCTTGGATCGTYTAGGGAAGGCTCACCTGACGCTGGGAGATTACCCGCATTGCATTCTAGAATGGTCTGATTGTGGGTTGGTGTTTGGGCACAACACGACCCTGAAGAATACAGCGGAAGCCGCGAAACACGGCTGGATCGGCAGCGGGCCCGCGGCGGAGGATGATGGAGATGACGGCAGTTGACACGTCAGTTCGTCCACAACGCAGTGGCGGGGTGCGGATCAGCGACCGATCGGCGAGGGGGATCACGAAACAACCAACTAACCGCCTTCGACTGCAGACGATGGCGCACGGGCGGGACAGGTGTTGGCGGGTGTTGGTGGTTGAGCAGGAGGAAAGGTGAGCTGGTCGGTCCTGCGCAGCTCGAATGGCGTGGCGACGTCAGCAGGTGGCAAGACTGGCAGCGGGCGGTCCGACGGAGTGGCGACGTCAGCAGATGGCATCGTAGCACATGTCTTGTGAATGCTTTATTCTTTTTTTTTTGTCATCGGAGCACACTTTACACTTGTGCTACACATGTACGTAAACGGCAAGAGTAGTGCGTTTTTGGTGTGGGCTGCTTGAACGGTGGACAGTTAGAAGAGAAGTGGATCGCCGCCTGAACATTGTTGTGTTGTTCAATGAATTTCCTCGAATTTATGTTTTTGTGTCGACGGCGTGTGTGTGCATGCTTATGGTTGGGTACAAAGTGCTCCTTTTATTGTCGTCTGTGTGGGTTTATCATGTAACGCACGCGTTAATGGCCATCGCATTCTTATCCACATCTTCTTTTGTATGCGACATACTCATTCGGTCGTACGACTCGTGGCGTCGTTATCGTCGCCGGCATCTTAGAAAGCAAAAGAAAACAAGGAAAACAGAAAGGAACCTATCCACGCGCTTTCATTGTCATCCTTTTCTGTTTGCTGCCCGTGTCTCCGTTCATAATGCCATCGCTAAAACCTGATGATCGCGCGCACCCCACGAAAGCCAAAAAAAAGGGGAAAAAAAATAAATGGATGGTCACCGCGCAGTTGTCGAATGAACACATCTTTTATTAGTTTTTCTTTCATTTCTATTTTGATGCACGTGTGTCGTTAGTGGAACAACGAAGCTTTTCCGACAGCATATAGCAAACGCAAAGAAGCGTAGACGACATGCATGACTGACGTTCCATGTAGTCGAAAAAAACATGTGTACTCAAAAGAAGGATAGCAGTTGGACGCACGAACAAGTCCTTACACAAACATCATAAGAAAGCACACACTGTTCAAGTTCAAGGAAAACTGCTCTGTAAAGCACTTGCGAAACAGCGGGTTGACGAATTTCTTCGTGCCGGCCCTCACCTCCCGTACCCCCCCCCCTCCCCCCCCTCCTCCCTCCCTATTTCTCGTCCTGGATTCCACGGAAATTGCGCAGGAATACCATTTCATCGCCTACAACAACAATGATGAGCCCGAAAACAAACACACTACCGTCGCGGCGACCACAACAACAATGAACCCGCGTCACTGTCAATGATCGACGGACTAAACAACAAGTCTGCCATCGACTAAACAAAAAAACACCTAAAAACAACCCGTCCGCGACGACAAACCCTCTGAAGTAATCGCGCGCGTAAGCGGAAGACGTAGACGCTGCCAATCGACGATGGCGGAACATGAATTGAAGGGGACAAACAGGCAGGCGGCAGGCAGGATCACATGTGTTTCATTCGCTCCGCCAGCGCATTGCGGAGCGCGTGAGCCGCATGCGTCGAAGTCAACATCGTGATTGGCTGCGGGGGACGATGAATCCCCAGGTCCACGCGATGCCTCAGCCGGTTTTCGTCGACCTCCCACAAAAAATTCTCGTCGAACTCGATACCGGCATCGAGCAGGATATTGTGGAGAATGCAGACTGCCATGAACTGCTGCGGTAAAGTGTCGAGGTTCGTCTTGTGCGTCCGTAGGAAGGGCCTCCACATCCCCTTCAACCTCCCAAACGTCCTCTCCACAACCCTTCTTGCGACCTTCTGCTTCGTGTCGAACCTTTCCTCGTTCGGGTGCTGAATCTGCTGATTGATTCCTCTGTATGGCACCATTACCCATTCAGAAGGAGGATACCCGTTGTTGCCCAAGATGTATCCGTTCGTCCTCACCCCTTCCGACAGCGTGACAGGCGGCCCACGAAACAACACTCCCTCTTCCGCGCGCCTTGACAAACTTGACAGCTGGATCACCCTAATGTCGTGGCAGCTCCCCGAATATCCAACGAACACATCAAGCACGCGCAGATCCAGGTCCACCACCACCTACGCAATGACGGAGAAATGGTGCTTGCGGTCGAAGTAGTTCTCGCTCGGCGCGTTCGCCGGTTTGTCCACGTAGATGTGTGTGCAGTCAACTGCGCCATGGCAGTTGGGAAAGCCCTTGTCCAGAAACGCCCGTAGCACGATGTGTTTCCGCAGCCTTGTCGGCCACGATATCTTGTCCCCGTACGCCCTCAACATAGCGGCTGTCACATCGCGCACGGCTCAAACTCCGGAAGTCCTGCCTATGCCGAAGGATGATGTGCTGTTCTCGTATGACTCTCCTGTAACCCACCTATAGAGCGCGTACGCGACAATCTGCTCCGGTTGAAGTGGTTCCCGGTAAAACGTCACCTGTCGTTGCAAATGAGGCGCACAGGCTTCGCTGATCTCCATGAACACTCTTCTGGACATGCGGAGTTTTTTACGAAAGTAGTCGTCTGTCGCGTCATTGCACACCCGCAAATCCTCCCAAGTTCCGCCAGTTCTCCGCCTCATCCACCAACGTGGCGTCGCCCGAGGAAGCAAACCGCACCCGATTGCAGGGCACAGCTGAACCACGGCCTCCGAAGTGGTGATGCAGTCCGGGGCATCCAACACCCTCTGCAGCAGAAGCCTCTGCCGCCGCCTCGAAAGCGCTGCCTTCATGCGCTCGGCCGCCCTCTCCAATTGGAGACGACGGACAACGGCAACCGCAGTCGCCGCGACAGCTGTCTTCTCCCTTGTCGACACCACATCACGGACATCGCCATTGCAGCCCTCCATGACGCCCTTCCAACACGAAAAACAGTGTCCACAGCCACCCACCTGGGTGTACCTCTGCCACCACGATTGAAGACGCCTGCAACCACATGAGGAGGACAGCTCCACGCGGCTCCACGTGGCGAGCGCAACAATCGATCGAACGTCTTCGTTTTGCCGCATCGACCATACTTGAGCGTTTCGCCGCGTCGACCATAGTGGCGGTGCGACGGCACAGAAATACGCAACGCAATGGCAACCGAAACCCTGCGAAGCGTGGACTGCCCCCTAGACGACCCGCCTGTGCGCCGCCACCACGTCGCTACGCAAGAAGAAAATTCGAATTTCGAATTTCGAACGGGGCCGTTCCTGCCTTGCCGATTTGCTTTTCCAGGGCCCGTGACGCATTCCCGCCGTCCGCCTTTTGGACCACCACGACTCCTACACGGACATCTCGATTCGGAGGCTGGACAAACCCCTCACGGCCGTCTGTAATCTCATGAAACTCACCGCGGGAGGGCCCCGAGGATTCGTCCTCGGGGCTCCGAGGACAGGTGGAACGACACCTCAAAAAATTAAAAACAACTCCGAGGATTCGTCCAGGGAGCCCGAGGACGCGCTGAGGAGTGTTGAACGACGCCCTAAGCAAGCCCTGAATACGAGTTTGCCTTGAGAACGATGGCAATCTTCTCTTCGAGTTGTTTCCAATGGCATACCTGTGTTTGGGCCTTGCTCCACTACACAACACTCTACATGCATTTGGTTGGACTGCTGACTTCATACATTCAAAATGTTGGACTCGTCCCAATGCACATGGTGGAGGAAAGAGTTGAAATGCATGTAGACCAATGCACATGGTGGACGAAAGCGTCGAAATGCATGTACAATGTTGAGTAGCGGAGAGAGGGCCCTTGCGTGGTGGAGTGCTTTGGTTCTTTCATTTTGGGAAAAGTCGTAAAACATCCCCTCGACGAAACCTTTGTATCCATTTACCCCCACCAACCTGGGGCCAGGTCCCACCAGCAGCGTTGAGTTTCCTCAACGCCTGAATCTGGACGCGTTCGTGGAGATGTACAGTTGAGAAAACTCAACGCAATTTCTGCACATATCCACAGACAAGTCCAGATTCAGCGGTTTAGGAAACTCAACGCTGCTAGTGGGACCTAGCCCTCAGGAATAAGGTGCCGCAGGCGCCAAAATCACTTTCGGCATCATTTTCGCACGCTGCAAAACGCTTCCCCGCCATTTTTACACGCCCAATTAGCAAAACGACATTTTTTTTTGCGAGAACATGGAAAGGTAACCCACCATTTGTTTTCCTTTTCTTGCCATATTTTTTGGTTCCGCTTGAAAGTACAGCACCTGGACGCGCTACTGGCGCTGCGCGCTCGGCAGCTGCGTTACTGGTTCTGGAGGACCGGTCTCACCGGTCACCACCCCGGCACGAGGCCGGGCGAAGTGAACATCGTCCACCGCCTTACCGGACGCCATGGCCCGGTCAACTCGGCATCACCTTGAAGCGGAGGAGGCATGGAGACGAGCGGGGAGCCAATTGTTAACTGATCATACTCAACTCATGCGTACTATGTGGAGCTGGACAGGCGCCTGCGCCCTGTCCTTGACGAGTCCTTGCATGATAACAGGAAGCAGTACGAGGGCAAGTAGCCAGGCACTGAGAGGCAGAATCTTGCCGAAAGTCAACGTAAGCTAGTCTTCCGTCGATAACTCACCACCCACACACCAGCGCCGTTGCCTCACCCTGGTACACCACATCTGACCCCTACGACT